GAGAGACGGGCGATTTGCATTTTAAATGACTCGGAGCACGCCCCGAACGCACGGTGTGGGGCTGGAAAGTTTGTCCTCGGGTCCCCAGAACAACAACAGCAAAAAATAATTAAAAATAAAAATAATGTATTTGCTTTCCTTCAAACCCAGCCGAAAGGCAGGGTGATTATCCTGGGCTGGTGTGTTGGGAGTAACAGGAAGGTTTCTGGTCTCATCTGGCACGTCTGTTTTTCCATCTATTATTATCCTCTCCATCTCCCGGCGCATCTCCAGCCTCTTCTTCCTCCCTCCTGGCTCCCTCCGTGCCCTGGTGGTGCTGGTTCCCGAGGTGTCCTGCTCTGCCCCTGCCTCGGGGGTGTCAGCCCCGGGTCTCTGGGTCTCTGGGTTGGGGTTTCTTTTGGCTTCTCCTCCGCTCGGTTGTAGCCGTGGTGGCTCACGGCGGCGGCAAGAAGTCGCTCGCAACCAGGTGACTGAAAGGGAGTTAAAATGAGGAAGCGAAGCTGGCAGGGGATTTCTCCGCGCTCCGAGGCGATGCTGGGGTGTCTCCTGTCATCGGGCAGCCTCCCCGAGCTGTCAGAGTGACCCAGCAGGACGAGGGTCTCTCTGGAAGGAGACACTTCTTTCTGGTTTTGCTGGTGTGTAAGTCTTCCGTTCTTCCCGTTATTTATCAAACCACGTGCTGGAGAATGGCTTTCTTCATCTCTCTATTTTTTTTGGAGGGAGTGAAAAGACCTTGGCATCCTTATTCCCCCTCCCAAGATTGAGAGAAACCCTTTTGTCTACTGGCAAGAGCAGGTTTGAAGGTGCAAGAGCAGGTTTGAAGGTGCAAGAGCAGGTTTGAAGGTGCAACGCTCTCCTCCTTTTGGGGTGGCTGTTCCTAGGCCCGCGGAGGTTGGGGATTTCTAATTGTGAATTAGAATAAGAATTTCTAATTGTGGTGACTGCAAAACAAGACTGTTGGCAGTAGGTTCAGATTGGATATTAGGAAAAGTTTTTACACTGAAAGGGTCATTAAGCATTGGGATGGGCTGCCCAGGGAGGTGGTTGAGGCACCATCCCTGAAAGTATTCAAAAGACGGGTTGACATAGTTCTTAGTGACATGGTTTAGTGGTGGGTTTTTTTATTGAAGTTAGGTTGATGGTTGGACTAGATGATCTTAAAGGTTCCTTCCAAACTAAACAGTTCTGTGATTCTAAGGATGGGAGGCTGGATGTGTCCGGGGAAGCGGGTGCTTGGCGTTGTTTTGGTGGAGTTGGAACACGTTGGAAGTCTCAGAGGGCACCACTTGTGTGTTTGGGAAACACAACTGCCTCTTTAGGTCTTGGAAGAGTCCTTCAGGATCTAATAATTCCTCCAGAGCATAACAGCATGTAGTGGATGTTCTTCAACCCTCTTTTTAACGCCTGCTCACCAGCCCAGCAGTGGTGGGGTGTTTGGGTAGGCTTGTCTTTCTTAAATAGAGACAAACCACGGTAGGGGATCATCTGGGTCATCTCGTCTCATTCTGTGCAATCACACACGGGGTTTGGTATCTCTTTGTACGGCTTGAATATCCACAAAACCAAAGTTACCTTCTGAAATGATTGTACGCTTCAATGAAGAACCTTGTATTTTTTTTAACTTACATGATAGCTACACATTTGGGCCGATTCTTAAAAATATTGGTACCATTCCTGTGGCAATGGTTAAAAATCTTGTCTTTCTAGTAAAAGAAATAAATTAGAAATGTTAGCAAAACCACCTGATTGGAAATGAAGGCTCTAATAAGATAGTTAAGAACACTCACAAATGGTATTTTCAACTCTGCCTTACTTATGTTCTGCATCGTTCCTCATTTTCTTCCTTGTTTTCTTCCCTTTTTTTGAAGCAGCGGGCACAGAAGCTCATGCTGCTCCAGCTGAGTGCTTGCTTTTGGCCCTAAGCCCACTGCTAAAGATGGACCCAAGGCAGGCTCCTCTCTCAGGGCTTTCATGTAGTTTCTATTTTCTTATGTGTATGAGCCTGGGCTCATCTTGCAGCCAGCGCTTTGGGTTTAACTCTACAATTGCGTTCCTTTTCCTGGCTGATGGGGAATAACAGACATTAGAGAGATGGAGAGAACCTATTGCGGGTCGTGGCTGCTCCGTCCCCCTGGGAACATCACAGGATTGCTTCCAGCAGGATATTTTCAGATGCTTTGTCCAACCTAGTTTCAAATGTCTCGAGTGACTGGGATTCCATTCCAACCGCCCGTTCGCCTTTGAAGGTGGAATAAGGAAGATATAATTTGTTCTTTCCTGGGAGACTCCTATACCCTTGCCTGAGAAGCACAGTCTTACTCCTTACTCCTGGCTTTACCAGCCTCTGTTGCTTAAAACCCGTCTCCTAAGAGCCCTTTTACTGTCAGGAACCCTTCCTTTGGGACTCAGAAAGACCATCCTTGGACGGTGAGAGGGAGAAGAAGAAGAACAGTCTTCAAGCAACATTGCCCCATCAGAGAAAGGAGCTAATTTTAGAGGAGTGGGAGCTGCAGCTTGCAGAGGGAGACCCTGAGAGCACCAGTAGTGACGTAGAAAGCAAAAGGGACGGATGGATTTGCTGGGTTACCAGCTGGAGAGTTGTATTAACACGGAACCTGTTCCCAGGAGAAGTCCCAAAAAGCCTGGATTCGGTGATCTTGGAAACATGCTGCAAATATCTGCTGCTGGATGTGACCTACAGACCTGAGGGTGTGCGGATACGGGGGAGTTTCTGAATTCTCACTGGGATGATTTCCTTCACGATGCTGAGAAGTTATCTCAGTCCTAATTATGGTTAAGATGCTTCGTAGCCATCCTTTTCATCGTTTTATATTTAGATCACTGGTGACACTTGGAAAGTTAAGGGGTAAGAAATTGCTCCCTTTGTGTTCGCTGACCAGAATTAGGTGCAGTTTACGAAGCACTCGATTCCCACTTGGGCCGGATTTTTGTGGGGATTTTTCATACTGGGCATGAGCTTATTTGAAAACTTGAATAAATGTGTAACGCTGGACCTCTTGCACAAGGCTGTCTGGGTATGGGAACTAGAAAGGGGAATATAATGCGGTGTAGATATAATTTTTGGCTTTGTCACCCATCTCTGACTGGTAGCAGCCCTGGAAAACTTTTATATACACCTGAGAAATTAAACAGTCGATTTAAAGATGGTCTAATGAACTCCCTTTTCTTTTCTTCCAGCTTGCTATGGAATTGTCCAGGTTCCTACCGGACCCTGGTTCTGTCGGAAATGTGAATCTCAAGAGCGAGCCGCCAGGGTGGTGAGTACGGAGCAATCTTCTACTTACACTAAATAGGTTTGAATAGGTTTCCTTCCGTGCCCTTCGTGTCTCTGCTGGGAGCAGTGTGATCCCCTGGCAAAAGCGACAGAGCTCGGCATTTCGGCACTACCGTGACTGTAACCCCAGCTCTGCCTGTAACCTGCTAAATCCTGTTTATTCAATGGGAATAACTGTCTCAAACAATTCTGTAGGGTGCTCTTAGCCATTCTGATGAAGATGCCACCAGAGGTGCTTTTAAGCAAGTTATCAATGGCAAAAATTTTTGAGCCTAGAGACCTCAACCTTCTAAAAAAAACAAATGGCGTTCTTCTGAAAGGTGGTTTTCCTGCTGGTTTTTTTCTGTTCAGCTCCTGAGGAAGTTTTGGAGTGGAGGAGGGTTGGCATCACCTGAGATGCTGCTTTGCTGTCAGAGTTCTCATACTGAGTGGCAGGATGGATTGGCATTCGTATCTCGCAGCAACAGTCTCCCGCATAAAATCTCCCGAGTTTGTAAAACAGCAAAGAAAATGACGGGAAGCTGGATCCGGGTTTAGTTTCTCTCTTAAGTAGCAATTTAGCCGTATAGAACACTTTTACAAATGTTCTTAATTAATTCTGGCATTTCCCGGTGAGGCAGGAGAGTGGAAACAATCAGGCCAGGGCTGCCTTGTTGGGCCGTCTATGCGGGGAAGCTATTTGTGCAGTAAAGCAGGCTGTGGGTTTATAGCACCCCAGCTCTGCTGCAATAACTTCCCATGCGAGCCCTTATCAGATCCGGCTGCACCAACCAACTGCTGAGGTGTCGGGGTGTAGATCTTCAACGTCTTTAGTTGTGCCACGGATGCAGCTCCTGTTGGGCAGTAAATCCAGGATAGCTTCCCCGCTTCGCTCTCCTAAAGATGGATGTAAATTAAATTCTGTCTTTCCTTAAATACAAAAGGCTTCGCTGAGCTCGTCAGATGGTTTAGCTGAGTCTTTTCTAAAGTCCCCACCTCACGAGGTGGGTGTAGGTGACCTCTGGTGCTGCAGATCCACGGGGGCCTGAGCACATTGCGTGCTCCCTCTCAGCCGGGCTCTTTACAGAGGTTTAATCTGCCTCACAGATGGGCGAAGAACTTGGCAGAGAGGAGCGAATGGGGGGAATTAGGTATCTCTACCACGCTCTCTACGCTGCATTAACTCGTTCCTCGTTGGGAGTGGGAGTGTAAACAAGACCAGACTTTCAGACCTGAGCTCCCTTCCCCATTGTAAGACGCCGCTTTTATGTGCGCTGCAGTAAAGAAGATCAAATGTGTCTTTGAGGGGTTTTACATCCTGCAGATAGTTTCATAGCAAAGAAAGGAATTCGGATTTCATGGGCCTCCTTCCCCCCTGCTCTCCCAACCGTGCAGGCAGAGAGCAGCTCTTCAGCCTCAGCTACAACTCAGCGTAAGCTGTGGCAATGCGTGTACACACAAGTCCTCCTCACCTGCGCTCCTTGTGCAAGGACTGTAACTTTTCCCTTGCACGTCACAGGCTTCAAACCACCGCCAAGGTATCAAGGAAACAATACCCCCGCAGGTGGCTCCTTATTTAACTCGCCCTGGGTGAAATCTGTTAGACAATGCGTGGTGGGCTTCAGTCATGCCGTTCAGCCCCGTGGCATTCAGCCCTGCTACGATAATAACTGAACAGTGATAATCTTCCTTCCTAAGCAGAGCCGGGGATGATTTCCTATCTAAATCCCTCACCTTTTCAGTTAAACACCAGCAGTCATAGCAACAGACACGCAGATGGGTAAATACTTGAAAAGAATCTAGTTCTTTGATGTAGAGAACAGCATGATCAGAGTAAGGGAAATGAGTCAGGTCTTAGGAGATCTGTGCGTGGTTCTGTTAGTAAAACACTTTGAATTTGGGCTCCATGGTCCAGCGAGGCTGGAGGCTGTGGCTCTTTCAGCACAGCTCCATGCCTGGCTTTCTCCAGCTGTAAAACTGGCATTACCAGCCTGCAGACGCTGCTTCCAGGATCCTGAGCAGGAGATGCTGCTATTTCTGTGCTAAATACACTAACAGCAGCAGGGTGAATTGATACTTGTATTTCTTTCATAATGACTGTGTGGCAAACTCCTTTGAAAAACAACAATGTTTTTCTTCCCACATCTGCCTTCATAGAGGAATCTTAAAGCAGTTTACAAGCTTTGTCCATAACAAACATACTGCTTGGCTAAATATTGATACTTTTGCTTTGAGCATAAGATACGGAGGCATGGAGAATATGGCACTCCTTAGTGAGTTTTTTAAAACACAGCTCTCCTGATTTCTGTATCTCTCCTTTGGAGTGATGGACTCCATCCTCTCTTCAGCTTTGGAAGGAGAGCTCTGGAGCCCTAACTTGGTGGTAGATCCCAGAGCTAGAAGCCCCAGGGGGGTCAGGAGCTCTAACCTTACCCATCACAACCTGGTTTAAATCAACCAAGCCCTGCTCTTTTCCCAGAGTTGAAATAAAAAACCCCGGAGACCGCCTTGGCCTCTGCAGGTTGAATAAAAGGAAGAGGTACCGCTAATCCCTGCTCATAACCCCTCCTCAGATGCTCAGGTCCCTAAAGGATGCTGTGGACGCTATTGTGCTTACAGTAAGCAACTGAAAGCCCATCCACTTTGTAATCAAATTGTATAGGAAGCCCGGTGAGCTGCAATGGCCAGAGGGCACTCATGTGAGGGATCATGTGAAGGCTTTAGCTGTCATTTCGAGGCAGGGCTATTAAAAGTCTTGTGTGGGGCCGATGGAGCTGTTAACCCCTCTTGTTACAATCAGAGCTTTGCTAATCGCATGGTGGGAGAGCCGCTTTGATCTGAGGGGTGGAGGGGAGAGCGGAGGGGCCTTTTCAAGTGCAAATTTCTTATTACAGTGTCTCAGTTAACCCAGTTCTTTTTCTGTCTTGGCTCTGCCGGGCTTTCCATAGTAATTGTGAGAGCAGCTCTCCAGCATTCTGGTAGCCCGGACCTAACCAGGAGCAGCGAGAAACCCCTCCTGTGGTCACCCATCCCTGGTTCAAACTAAATTGCAGGGAAAGCAATTCAGCAAAGAGGGGCTGCTGAGGACAGGGCTGGTCTGTGTCCCCTCGTCTCTTATTTATATGTTATCATGGGGATTTCGTGCTTGCCAAAGGTGCCTGTTTGAGAGCCCAGCACGCTTGACTCCCAGAAAATTGTTGGAGGATCAGGCTGAGCCTCCCTGCTCCCCGTTGCATTGCAATCCTATTTATTATGTCCCTCTGTCTGGGAGGTAAAACTCCAGCAGAGGAAATCTTGACTTGCTTGAGGAAAGCCACCTCTGTGGAAGGTCCTTGGGGACTAGTTGGTGGCAGAGGCTTTTGCTCGTGGCCAGTTATTGCCCAATACGTTGGTTTTTTGTGGCGTGGAGCACCTGCCCTGTTATACTCCCCAGAGCCGAGGGACTCTGGCACAGCCCTGCATCCCACTCTGACACCAGGCACCTCATTTCGAAACTTTCTGATATGTGAAGCACATTTTTTCACAGAAAAAATGGGGGGTTGGGTGTTTTGTTTTGTTCTTTTTAACAAATCAGACCTTTCCACTAGGGAAGGAAAAGGGTTGCACCTTGCAGGTTTTCAGGTTTTTTTTAAAAGTCAAACAAGTCAAAAAGCACATAGACTTTTTCCCTGAGTGATGCCACGAGAAGACAGTGACCGTTTTTGGGCGGCTCAGGCTGGGAGGAGCCCTGGGGGCCGGCAGCGTGTTCCCCCATGCGTGGCAATGTGCCCCGAAACCGCCCCAGCTCCTGCTGACGCTTCAGAAGGGTGTTATGGCCGGGGGAGAGCCCGCTCGTAGCGATGGGCTGATGTGAAGCCCAACATTGGCTGGGCTAGGGCTGAAATTAGTGAGTTGTGGAAAATGAGTGCAAGGCCTCACCCTCCGCCATGAGGCGAGGAATGGCGCCGAGGGCCATGGCGCTGGGTTTCTGTGGCTCTCGCCATCTTGTCTGATTCTCTGGTTCTACCCTTCTCCATCCATTTGCCTCCCCCTGGCTGTCTGTGCATGGCGGGGTCATGAGGCCTGTCCCCACCATGGCCATGAGAGAGATACTTTGGGGGCCACCACTGGCCTTGGAGGCCTCCATGGCCCATGGGGCATGGAAGCATGAGGTGGCATCTCCTGAGGGGAAGGGGCTCATCTCCAACCACGCCATGGCTGCCGGCCCATGGTGGAGGAGACAGCATGTCTCCCCCTCACAGCCTTCCCCAAAAGCAACCATTGGTGACTGGGCATGGAGGGGAGCCATTGCCTCACAGCCCATCGTGGCACCAGCCCTGCGGCTTTCCACCCATCATGGCAGCGCTGAGGGAGCTTCCTCCACCCCCGCAGGTGGCAGAGACTCTCTGGTGTCGACGTTCCCCTCGCACCTTCTCCATCACACCTCAGCCGCCCCCGAGGCTGGGTTTGGGGGGAAGCAGGGTGCCCATCCACCAGTCCCAACCATTGGTGCCAGACCTGCCATGGCCCCCCACCCCCCGCCAGCGAAAATGCCACGGCAGCCTCACCCGCCTCTCATGAGACTGGAAAAAATATCGCAAGAGAAAGAGAGAAGGAAGGAAAGAGGCAAAGATAGATAATGGCTTTTTTTTTATTTGCCTTCTGCTCTCTGAGTCATGGTTTTCAGTTTTACTCCCCAACCGCAAAGACTAAAGCTTTTTTTTTTTAAAAAAAAAAGCCCTGTGAAAGTCAAGGTTCACTTGTAGCCCCGTGGCTCTTGGGCTGAGGCTTTAAATATGTCCACGTCAGACAGGACGATATCGAGCTGTGTCAGGGTATCTTTTTGCATCCAAACCGCTCTCAGCCCTTCTTCCACTTCCTCTCTTTGAAAGCAGCCCTGTCTCTCATAACTATGTTGTAAATGAATCATCTCTTTTTCTGGCCCTACACCCCTGGGAGAGTTAGATTAAAACTTGTTGTTTCTGCTTAATTTCAAGAGATGTGAACTGTGTCCCCACAAAGATGGAGCCCTGAAACGGACCGACAACGGAGGTGAGTACCTCTGCGCAGAGCCGGGTATGTCGTTCAGAGCCTCCGGGGACTCCTCAGATGTCCCCGGCACAAAATCATTCATTTCTGAGCCCATGTCACCAGGAAGGGAAGGCTGGAGGCTCCAGAGGAATGAAAACACTGCCTTTTTCTTACACAACTTCACCTCCGTGGCGAGAAGACCTTTCCCTGGGGGTGGAACCTGCCTGACCTGTAGCTGGCATCAAAGCACAGCCCCTGAAACATGCACTTTCTTGAGTTTAACCTCGCAGGAATTGGTGCCTGATCTGCCATTGTTTATAGAAACATGAGTTCTTTGAGTTTTTTGCTGCACGCTCACAGAGGAGCAGGGTGATGCCCACTTTAACAGAGCCTCAGCCTCGACTCCCCACTCGAGAGCAGGGACCAGGATGCAGTAAAGATGTTTTTCTCTGCAGGACTTATCTGCTTATCGTTGATGCTTCTCAGCCTCTGGTGCTGTGAAGTAGTGTGGAGCCTGATGGCAGTTGTCAGGGCTTGCAGCTATTGATGCTACTGGCTGTATAGATCAAAATGAATTTTTCTCAAAATCTTGTTCTTTCAGAAAGGCTTCTGTACCTACCTGCCACTTACCTTAATACACAAAGAGTTAAGTTAGGCAAGGAGGTCTTGATTCTGATAGAGCCCATCTTTAGAGAAGAAGCCCTAGGTCCAGGATATTTTGGAGAAGCATCTGCTAGAGCTGGCTATAAGTGCCAAGAGCCTCAGTGCAATAGCACAAATATCCTGTTGGGGGGTTGTTTTATAATAACACAGCATCTTCTTCCAAACATGTTATTACACGGTTTGGTCAGGTCTGTGTAGACAGGCACAACAAGTGTTAAAACCACATCCCTGTATAGAATTATATAGCGCTGTGTGATTCTGTCATCATGGAGTTTGGTTCTGCCTGCCCAGGTGAATCCATCCTAATTCTAGCTAAGTCCTTCCAGTGCAGTAGCCATACTGGTGTGGATCAGACCCCAAAGGCTCTTGACCTTCAAGCTTTCTCAGTTCTGTCCTGAGCAGCTGCAATTTCAACTTACACATCTGATTTGAGAAGTGTCTTGGTGGATTTAGATTTTAATCTAACTTGGCTTGCTGAAAAAGAGCCGCCTTGAGCCGTTGATAACAGCCAATAAAGGGAGCTTTGTTTTGACTACAGGTCAAACCTGTCCCATCAGCATCATTTACTGCTTGGATGCTTTTCTTGGGTTTGGTTAAGTTTTCAACTCTGGGTCTCAAGTCCTGAGGGGTTGCTTTTAAGCACGATGAGCGTTATACGTTTATTTTCCCAAAGAAATCTTTGCTCTCTTATTTAATCTGGAGGTGGTATCAGTCTGTCTTTCACCCACAAAGGATTTGATTCCTAACCAAGTTACAACAAGCAGGATTTCAAATCTAAGATCTAACTTAAGTTGGCTCCTTTCCTACAACTCTCTTCCTTCTCTCCCTCACGTGCCTGTCTGCAGCCCTGTCTGAGTTTAAGACTCTTCTGGGTTGCCCCATGTGAACCTCCGCTCTCTGCCTGATTTGCATCCCCAGGGTGGGCCCATGTCGTCTGTGCGTTGTACATCCCAGAGGTGCAGTTTGCCAACGTGCTCACCATGGAGCCAATAGTCCTGCAGTATGTGCCCCACGACCGCTTCAACAAGGTAAGGGACATCCTCCTCCATCCGTCTCTCCTCCTGCCCGCCTTGGATTTTTGGGGTCATCTTATTCTACCAACATCTCCTTTCCAATTTATGTTAATTTCCAGGTACTCTGATTCCTTTAAAAATAACTAAGAAAGTAAATCCTCATTCTTGCAAATAACTTTTTGGTCCTCCAGTTCTCTCTTCCCCAATTCCCTGCAACTTGAGCAATCTCCTCCTTGCAGCTGCATGTTGGTTACTCCACGTTTTGATCTGATGCAGTTGTTATTTGGGGAGAAAAATAAGATGCGTGAGTTTTGTGTGTGCCACTGAGAAATAACCCAGAGCTGTTGTCACAGGAGGGAGGTCGCTGGACACAGAATTATGAGTTCTTGAAGGCTTTGCCTCCTGGTGAACAGTGAGAGTGAAGTAGACACTTTGCCTGCCTCTTGGAGTGAGCACTATTCCTCTTTTTTTTATGTTTTGCAGACCTGCTACATCTGTGAAGAGCAGGGCAGGGAGAGCAAAGCAGCCTCTGGAGCGTGTATGGCCTGTAATCGGCATGGCTGCCGGCAAGCTTTCCATGTCACCTGGTGAGTTCCCCACAGCATCAACCCAGGAATAGCCCTGGATACTGGTTTTGCTGCTATGACTTTGAGGCCACACCAAATGGGAGTCGGGCTCATGGCCCTGGGTTTATTTTATGCCATCCTTGTTGAGTTTGTGAGGGGAACTTCCCCAGGAAGGCTGAGGTTTCACCAGTGAGCCTTCCCTGCTGAGAACCAGGGCTGGGGATTTCCCTAAGACTCTGTGGAATCCAAGAAGAGAAGAGATGAGTCACAACCCAGGAATGTTCCTTCTCCAGCAAAGCACATGCAAGAGTATCATCTAGATGATGTGATTTGAAGGGCTGATATCCTCATGTACCCTCGCAGCCTGAAAACAACATTCCCTATCAGCAGAACAGGGAGATTCCCGGCTTTACATGGATTCCTTGCTCATGATAGGTCTGCCGTTGGGATTGTTACTGGTCTCCCAGGCCTCCCTTAACAAGAACAAAAATTGCAAGGCAATTCGGTAGAAAAGTACTGACAAATGTGAAGATCTTAATATGAATTAAAAAGAGTCGGAACCTTTTTCCGCCTCCTTGCATACCATTTGCCAAGCAGAACAGGAAGTTTCAAGACCCTGCCTGGGTACCCTGAACTATTTTTTGCATATTTGATGGGATATGTGGTCTAGTTGTACAATTTGCTTTATCCTCCTCCTAATTGCTTGCATTTCAGTGCCCAGATGGCTGGCCTCTTATGTGAAGAGGAAGTCCTAGAAGTCGACAATGTCAAATATTGCGGCTATTGCAAGTACCACTTCAATAAAATGGTGAGTCTCTTCATCCCTGTGGTGGAGATTTTTTGTCACATATAAGGCATTGTTTTTGTCCTGTGCTCAGAGCAGTAAGAAATGCCAAGAACACGTGAACACGGCCTGCACCCTGCTTCCTTTTTCAGCCACTCAATCAGAGTCACTGAGGAATAAAGAATAACTTACATTTTGCATTTCTATGGCATCTTTAAACCCATTTTCAAAACTAGGGGTTGAATTCTTCCCACCTATTTTGGCTTCCCTGACCCACTCTTTGTGGCTGAAAGGTGAGTCCCATGAAAGGAGCACAGCCACAGTGGTGGGTGCTACAGGGAGTTAGGGGTGTAGCTCAGGCACCCTGGGCAGGAGGGTACCACAGAACAGCCAGAATGTCTGCCTGAGGACAGAGACAGCCCAGAGGAGACACCGAGCCATTCCCTGTTTGAGGGATATTTGGGGCAAAGGACTTCCCCCTATTAATTACAGCACCAAGAGGAAAGAGAGGAACCCTTTTCCTCTTCTGCATAATGAGTAGACACCTGCTCTCCCCCCTGCAGCAAAAGGGAAACTTGATCCCCCTCTGCAGCTTTGTGTCTCAGTGGCTCCTTTGTTGCTGGCCTTTCCCACTTTCCTTCCAGCTTATCAGTGCTGTCACACGCAGTGACTGATGTCCTGAGCTTCCCCTCAAAGTCAAACTGGAGGACACCTTCCCTGCCCTTCAGGTACCCCTGGTATCCAACACAAGTGTAGCTCTGTATCAAGTTCACTGATGCTGAGAGAGATACTGGGTCTTCTGCTTATGCCTGGGGTCTGAGAACAGGGTGTCCTTCCATGCATGCCCCCAACACCCTGCTCGACAGTGGAAGCTGGACACTGCTCTTCAGGACAACTGGCTCATCTAACCAACACTGCTCCTACCGTTTATCTTGTTGTTTGGTCTCTTAGCAGCTCTGTGCCTTTATTTTTTCATTGTGCACAGGCCACCAAGAACCAGGTACTTGGGGAGTTAGGTCTCTGTGATCTTTGTAAGCCCATGAGTATGGTATCTGCTGTGGTTCCTGTGTGAGGAACCAGGCTGGGCGTCTGGTACAAAGAGTTTGGTCCTGCATGTGGTAGATGAGCCGTTTACTGTAACTTTGCTCACCATACCAGTGAAAGCTGGGCTCTGTAACACTGTTTCCTCTCTCTTTTTCCTTTTTTCTCCTGTTCTCCACCTCCTCTCTCCTTCCCCGCTCACCTCAGAAGACTTCACGTCACTCTGGAGGTAGCTCCTTCATTGCTGGAAGGAGGAGTCGGTCCACGTCCCCTGCTCAAGAGAAGCACGTGTCCCACCACGAAAGGCCAAAGAAGGTAAGATCTGCACAGGGTTGGTGAGTCCAGAGAGACAGAGCTGTGTGGGATGGAGGTGAGACGGGGAAGGGTGTGCAGAGAGCCCCGACTCTACAGAGAGTTCTGCAGTCAGAGATCTGAATAGTGGCTGCGTTTTTAAACAGGCCTCTAGAAATGTGTGAGCAAATAGAGCCCTGGGGAACGTGCGGCCAAGTTTGCTTGCTCAGATTATGCCCGAGGGGTCTTGGCAGAACATGCCTATGAAATGTGCAACTGTCCTCTTTCTATCTCAGCCCTTTGAGGCTGACACTGTGCTATGGTTTCCAGCTAGCGGGCTGGTCTGGGTGGAAGTAGTTTGGGCTGTGGTTTTAAACGAGAGCGTAAACTGGAGGTCGTTGTCCTTGGATCCCAGAGTCCAAGTTTTACAAGGATAAAAATATACTGACTAGTGACCTGCCTTGTGACCAGCAGGTTTAGTGTAGGCAACAACAATAATTAGTATAAATAAGGCAGTATTTTGTTAGTCAAATTAGCCAGCCATAGCAATTCCACCTGCTTCAAGTCACCTGTGAAAAGAGTTCATCTTCGATAAACGATTATTTAGAAGAACATCACATGCCAGATCTGACTGGTATGATAGTTATTTATCTAACTCTGCTGGTTAAGACGTACTCATCAAAACTGCTGCGGTGTTACAGGACATGTTAACAGCACACCAAGGTTCATAATTAACCAACTGCCTCACGTGACGAATGCTCATATTTCAAGGAAAAGCAGTGGAGAATGTGGCAGCAGAATCCCAGCAGGCCCTGGGTTCTGACAGGGGTGCAGGTTCCAGTGTAGAAGGGCCTGTACCAAAACAAACGAGGAGACCAGAGGCTTCTGAGGTATTTGTTATTTATAATAAATAGCCCTGAAAGGCAGAATGTGTGGGTTTTTTTGGAGGATTCAGGTTCTAAGGCAAGTGGCAGCAGAATAAGAAATTTTCACTGCCCTTTGATACAGCTTTTGTAATCTAAAGGATCCAGCTGTAGTACTGCCACCCTCCTTTGCACCCCTTCTATCCAAAGCAGTGGGGTAGGATCTGAAGCAGAAATAACTTACACAGGGATACTCTCAGTATGGGCAGATAGTTTTTAATACTTTATGGGCCATATCCTGTTTTGTTGTTTTTTTTTTAAAGCAGAAATCCAGAATTACTCTGCCAAGCAACCTCTGGATATATTCCACTATAGTCAAAAGCCAAATTTGCCTTGTTGTATAAACACAGTTGGTGATACCCCTGTAAATCACAGTGCAAATCTTTTAAGTCTATTCCCATAGGTGCGTGGCTGTTTACTTCTTTTTCTGTTTGTTTTTGTCTCCTTGCAGTAGGCATCCCCACAATGTGTAAACGATTTTGAGTGGTAATGATAATGACCCACATCCAGCAACAGCCGGATGACACTCTGGTGGGTTATGTGGCCGAAGTCTGATGGATCTCAGCCCAGTCTCCTGGGGACAAGGGCATCCAGGCTTTCAAAAGCAGCACGGCCGTGGGTTAATACTGACTGACACCCTCCTGGCATGCCCAGCTGAGAGTCCATAAATCCTGTGGGCAGGAAAGCCATCTCCCTCTTTATTTACAGAGGTTATCCCGCAATATCCAGTTTGAAACGCTGCCCGCTATGTCCATTACGTGTTTGGGAAGTTTGCCCAGACTGTACCTGATACATGGGCAAACAAGGCAAAGCTCGCTCCGAAAGCGGCGTCTGCCCCGCTGCCGGCACCGAGTCCCTGCATTTCCCGCTGCCGCCGGAGCCTACGGGGAATATTTACTCCTCTTGTGTGTTCAGCTGCTGCGGGGAGAGGAGGAGGAGGAGGAGGAGGAGGGAGGGAGGGAGAAAGAGCATCTGTGCCACGGACGGGGAGCGAGCGCTTGGCACAAGGTGCAGGGCTGTACTGGAACGTGCTATTTTTAGCCAACAAGCAGAGAAAGAAGAGTTGGGGGGGGGGGGGAGGGCCGGATTGGGGTGATTGACGGCGGCTTTGGAGAGCTCAGCTGTAATTATAACTGACAGGCTGCACGAGTCCAAGGCTGGGGGGACCGTAGCGGGGTTTGTGTGTTTGCACGGCTTCTGGTGGCCGGGGTGGGAGCACAATCACGTGCCTGGCAGGTAGGAGCAGGGGAAGTGCTGCTTTCCCGGCTCGGGTTGGAAAGCAGGTCAGCGCCAGGGGGAGAGCGAAAACAGGAGGAATATGGATTTATTTATAGGCTTCTCAGTGGCGCTTGCCACTATTGTTAGCCTCTGGGTTCCTCACAAACATGCAGAGACTCCGGCTCGCCGCTGTCGCACCGCTCTCCCCTCCGGATGGCTGGTGGGGTTTGGGAACAGCAGATCCCATGGAGGCCCCTTCCAGGGCTGGGATTGCTTGGCAGGATCACAGCACAAGTGCCAAATCAGCTCTTGTTCCGCACAGAGAGGGGGTGTCAGCCCCCCACTTCCACACTGAAGGGGGGACGAGGCGTGCAAAGCAGCTGAGACGGGCAGGGTGAGGAGGGCACTCTCGGCTTCCAGGGGTGTGGGGTAGTTCCTGGGTCTGGGGGTGGTTATGAAGCACGGGGTGGGTGTGAGGCGGTGGGGGAATGAAGACTTTTCCAAGGGGTACGATGAACCACGAGTTCCCACATGGTTGTGGAGTACGTGACTAGCCGTGCGTGATCTAATTGCACATGTTTCAGGGGAACTGGGCGTGCTGCTGCGCTGACCTGAAGGAAAACAGCTTTTTCTTGAGCCTGTCCAGCTGTGCAGCCGGCTGGGCCCGTCCTCCCGGAGCTGGAGGCGTTGCAGGGGAGCGGATCACTCAGCAGCAACCCAGAGAGCGTGTGTGAGAGCCCCTGGGCTGCAGGTGCTTGTTCTTTCTCCACTCCAGAAAGAGCTCAGGGCCTGACAGCTCCCTTCCAGCGCAGGGCTGTGGCTGTTTACTTAGGCTTTAGGGAGGAAAAGTCTGGCTGAGTTAATGACTAAGTGAGGGGCACAGGATTTAACCCAGTGGCTTCAGTAAGACAGCAAAGGCTCGGGGGTTGGACTCCTAAGCCCTGTCGTAAAACAGTTCAGGGTTTGTGAAGAGTCTTGTTCTCTGCAAAACAAGGGACAATTGTGACGTGGGACCACGAGCCAGCGTCGGCGTCCCCCGCCTCTCGCAGGCACAAATGACACCAGCCCAAGCGTTTCCTTCTGTGCTGTCCTGAAAACGGGAAAGCTCCAGGCTTTGGGTTTTCCTCAGAACATACCCCAGGCCTTCGCAAAACCAGCCCCATTTATTTCTTCGGGGTTGGTATTGCGATGTGTGTGCTCTCCCCCGTGGGAGCCCTTTGCAGGGCTTGCTTGTTTGAAAATAAAAAAAAAAAAAAGGGAAGAAGAAAGACAGAAAGAAAACAATAGCTAAATACCAAGAAAATGCTGGATGACGCACGGGGGTTGAATGAAGTACAGATGTTCTGTCACCTATATTGTCTGCTCGAAACGCACAGAAGAAAATTACCATGCTCCGTGGAATGAAATTTGTCACACCAGGAGCAGACGGGAGCACACGTGCTACGGCGTTTTTAGGCCTGTATCCCATGGAGGGAGACAGGATAGCTATTTGTAGTGAACACCTGGAAGCCATGAGCAAAATGAGAGGACTTTTAATTTGATTATGGGACATGGTTATGAGAGGAACTGGTCCCTGCCCAGTGACATAGCAAGGAGAGGCAGGCGCTTGGAGCAAAGAAGCCCACGTGCAGGTGTTCCTCAGGTCGGGGTACAGAGCCAGTTCTCCACTATCACAACACACCTTTAGCTCCTGAAATGTTTTCCTACCCACGGTGGGGGGCATTTTATGGGGGGTACAGGGACTGTCCTGCTCCCCTCGTCCTTTTAGCACCAGCCAGAGCAGTGCAGGAGCCCCCGGTCCCACGGTGGCTGAGCAGACGCAGGGCAGAGCCTGTCTCCCCGCTGCCATCGCCTCCCTGTCTCGAGCTGGTGCCAGCGGAGGAAACGAGCCAAGGATCCAGCCTGGCAGACTCAGCAGACTGGAGAGAGGTTGTACTGGGCTGAAAGCTAAACCCAGTGGGGCTGTGAGGGGCTTTGTGTTTGCGTTCGAGTTGGGGACGGAGGTCTGCCTCTTGGAGTTCTGTGTCCCAAAGGACAAAGTGGGTGTTGTTTTTTTTTCCAGTGGGATGCAGGCAGCTGCTTGCAAGACCGGTGCAGGTTTTTGGGAAGGAGAACAGAACCTGAATCTGCTCTACTCAAGCCATAGTAGCCTTATTTCATCGCATCCTTGTCTCCGGCTTTCTGTGACCTCTTGTTGTGTGGGTGTTTAACCGCCCTCAGCAAATCCTTCCATCCTGCAGCCATGATTTGAGAGCGCACAAAGGCCTTGTGTAAAACCTCTCGGGGACTCGGAGAGTGTCTCGAGGCAAACCCACGAAATCCCCAGCGGGGCCCTGGTTGCTGGCAAGGGTTTAGTGTCCCCTCTGCCCGCTCTGCCTTCCTCCTGGCCGCGGCCGCCATGGCTGCAGCCCAGAGCCAGGCCTCGTCTCCGGGCGAGGGAGTTCAGAGAGAGCCTGGGAAAGAGGGAGGGAGCAGCGGAGCCCGCTCGGGCTCTTCCCAGCCCTTCCCTCCCTCCTTCCCTTTGCCCAATCGACTTTTAATGATCCAATTGCTGGTGTCCAGCAGATGAAGAAGAGG